GGAGCGGAGAGGCAGCAGAAAGCCCTGACCTGGCTGCCCACTGGGCTGCAGGCCAGGACCCAGCCACACGTCCGCACGCCAACCCACACCAAACAGCAGCCGGCGCTGGCAGCTCCCGGGGGGCCAGGATGGGCTGCAGTAGCCCCGTGGCACACAGAGGGGCACGCGGTGCTTTGCCCCCAGCAAGAGCTGCAGGCTCCAGCCCTCTGTGACGGCACATGGGAAATGATGCTTTTACTGGTCAAGTGTTGGGTTAGAAAAATCACAGCCTTTTCCAACACAGCTCTTCTCACCCCTGCGAACTGGCAACCACCTCCCCAGCTGGGCTCAGACCCAGAGCCTGTCCAGCCTTCACCGATGCTCTTGTGCTTCAGGGCATGGCAGCATCAAGGTAGCACCCGAAAAAACATCAGTGTAGGCATAACCAGGAAGATTCTGGGGTATCTTTGTGTCTCTCTCTTTTAAATTAATTTCTCCCTATGCCCATAAAACACATTCCCAAATAAATGTGGTGAATCCAGAAGATACAGATTACCAGAGTATTGATGGAAGACAATTTTTTGCACTGTGTTATGTTGCCTATGTGGTATATAGTCTATATTCTGTGTTGGTGTTTATACATTTATATAAAAATATGTCATGCAACTCTACTTAATTAACTCACACTGTTTAATGTGGACACTCCTGAAGAAATAAACTAAATGACGATTGTGTATTTTTGCTCTTTTCCACAAGGAACTGATAAAGCTCTGAGGATGCAAGCAGACAACAGCCAAATAAACTGAATGAACATAAAAATCAGTGAAGTCTGACAGCAACTCCTTTGTTAGTGCTGTGCTAACTTACTCATCAACGAGCTGTTTTCATCATCTGCACCCAATGCTGCATCCATTGCTTATCCCCAGACTTCATCTCAATTTACTGAAAGCTTAAGGGCACAAAAATTGTGGAATCAGGCTTTGTGCACTGAGACTTCCCACATGTTTGATTTCTAACTGGACACAGATACCCACCTGGCTGGCAGGGTAAGACCCACAAAGCCAAGGATTGGATTTAATTTAAAAACTCAGTTATGAACTGAAAGGTAATCCTCACACTAATGAGCTCACTTCATTATTTTAAAACATGTTTAAAGTATTTTAGCAGCAACCAAAGACCACAGATTAAACAGATAAGAAAAAGAGAGGATGCTTCACATGTGCAGGTCACACACACCATGCTCCCTGAGAGCCAGGACTAATACCGAATGCAGCAAAGCAAACAAAAAGGACTTCTCTGCCTCGTTAACAATACCCTTAATGGCAGAGACACCAACTCCCTGCTCACAACAAGGCAGAAATGGTGCCTGGGATGTGTTTCTCTGCCACCAGGTATCCACCAGGGTTGCCACACTGGGAAGTACACAGCATTCCCAACCCTCTGCACCCTGCGGCACTGGTGTGGGCGGTCAGCTCATCATTAGGGATCGGGCTCATTGACCAAACCTGTTCTTTGGGTCAGGTTTCCGAAACATCTTCCCACCTTGTTGCCACTTACAATAATAGCTCACTAGTTATCCTACCATGGTGGGTTGTGTACTTTGTTTTCTGGCACAAACACAAAGGGAAACGTCTTCACTGGAGAGAGTGGCCTTTGGTGAGACATGAGACCAGGGGACTCAGGCAGGACTTTGCAAAATCCTTTATTAACCCTTCACAGCCCCAGCCAGCGAGGTTTCGATGGCCTGTGTCCCAAGACTGCTCACACTAATCACAAACCTCCTTTCACACGTGGATGCCAAAGGCAGTCGTTCATATTGTGACAATTCCTCTTTCACACATAGTAAGAAACAATCGTTTCTGTTCTTTAAAGATACACTGCCTTTTAGCTGTGCACAAACTGCTCCATTGCCTGGATTTTTCTTACTGCCAGAGTTTTCAATACCAACTTTGCAATTCATCCAGGTCATGCTGAGATCTCTTATCCTCTGCATTCACTCCTGAAGTGCTCCTGGATAGTTTGCTGCTGTGGAATTTCCTGTCAGGGAACCCTTATATCTTATTGCCTAATTTACTTCTCGTTACTGCCTCAGAAATGGAATATTCTGGTTTTCTTCCTCAAGCTAGCGGTATCCTCAGACTGGCCCTACTGAACACCCCTTCTTGGGAACTCTCCCCTGCCCATCCTAGCCCATCCTAGGTATTTATCTATATTTAGATCATTTCCCAGAAGTATCTAAAACTGCCATAGACCGACCGGTTTTGTGTTAATAAAAGCATCATATGAAACCTGTGAGTCGGACATGATACCAGGGATATCCAGGCTTACGGAAATGGGTAGAAATGCAAGATTATCAGCAACATAATCATTGTAGTGTGTTGCAACACACCATGACCAGGTGCTCTTGTGGATTTTGTTTGTTCCCACCACAGCCTGCGAGATCTCTGGGGACCCCAGAGCCAAGGCGTACGAGAAGGCTGCTGGGTGTGCGGCTCCAGTGGTACTCCAGATCAGACTTCACTAACACAGACTTGGCAATGACCTACCTAGGCAGCACCTGAGCCTGCCTGAATATAAGCCTGCATGAATATCAGGTTGCAAAGAGGTTGAGGGACAGGCTTCTTCCAACCTGTCATCCCTCGCCCTTCCTTCGGGAGACCCAGATCCGCTAGCTGAATTGCAAACAGCACTCAAGGGGCACAAGGCTTCAGACTCCAGCAGAAGAAAACAGGAGAGCAAATAGAGAAAGCCCATGAATAACTTCAGAAAGACGCTACTGCCTCCCAAGCGCTGGCAACCCCGAGTCACCACAGAATGCAATCCTGTGTGGTACGGACCGGGATACCAAGCAACTTGTCCATAGGACACCATATTGCTCTGGCAGGGCAACAGAGCCACGCAGCATCTTTTGTCTACCAGACTCATCCCTAAGGCACCATCCACTGCCCATGAGCACGCACATCGCACTACAGTCAGCTGTTCTGATTTATTGTTGCTCCTCATGGCTGCTGGGCTTGGTTCACTCAGGCTCAAGCTTAAAATTATAGTTATGCAAAACTACATCTGATTTTCCACCCGTCATTTAACTTCCCATGTTAAAGCAACTCTACAGTACAGTGAATCCCAGCTGTCTCACCTTCCCTGATGGAGCAGTTTCCAGTGACAGACAAGCAGGTCTGAAGCAGCAGCACAGGCTCATGGATGAACTGCGGGCAGGAGGGACCCCTCTCCCGGCAGGCTCATACTGAGGTAGCTGGCGGGAGGGAGTTGCCAGCTCCTGCCCACTGGACACCAGGACAGACTGCAGCGGGGATAGATTCAGAACTGCCAGAGCAGAAGGCAGCACGCACCCCGTGGCAACCTCCCTCCGACCAGTGGGCACAACCCAGCCCATGAGGCACATCCCCAGTCTCCTGGCTTGCACCCCAAACCACAGGAAGGGCTGAGGAAAGTGCCATAACCGAGCTGGAAAAGCCTTGAGCAAGCCAAATCCACAGGCAAGTGGCAGTGAGCCAGAGGGGTGCATCCTGAGCAGGCAAAAAAAAAAAAAAAAAAAAAGGAAAAAATTAAAAATATGGGCATGGGGCAGGGTGTCACTTTGGTGACAGAGCTGGAAGTGCAGCCTCAAACATGCACATAGCCTGAAGCGAGATCATAAAAATGGCATTTTTTTTTTTTTTAAATGCAGAGGCTTCAGCCCTTTCGGCACTAGGAGCTGCGGGATTTTATGCCTAACAGGCGCATGTGTCGCTGCCGGCAGAGGTCAGCTCTGGAACACCACTGTGCACATGCAGAAACACCCACGGGCCTGGTCAAGCTCCATTGGCCCCGGGAACAAGGTCGCTGCAGGGGGGACGCCGGGAGCGTGGCCCAGGCGGGAGGGCAGGCAGCAGCCGCACAGCTCCCCGGAGGACAGACGCGTGGGACAAGGTATGCGGGGGTTTGCGTTTCCACATATCAGACAGGCACACAGATTTTTAATTACGCAGTGTCACGGAAGAGGAAGCCGGCAGCTGAGCCATCCCGGAGCTCCAGCGCTGAGCCTGGCGCTTCCTGGGACGGCTCAAGGGCAGGTCTGGGTTATTCCAATCTTGTGTACTCAGCATGCTGCTTGGAGGCTTTTCTCCCTCCCAGGACGATAAGACACCTTGAATTAGGGGTCTGAACATCAGAAAAGCAAGAGTTTCCAGAGCTTAAATTTCTTACGGTATTAAAAAAAAGTTCAGGAAGGCAGGCAGCCTCTCCAAGGGAAAAATCTACTTTATTTTCCACACACCCCTTTTTTTTTTTTTTTTTTTTATTAGTATCTTATGACAAATCCTGCTAACACGGGAGTGACAAGATTCAGAGCTAATGTAAAGCTGAGCCCCGTGGGAAGCAGGACGGAGGCAGCACGGGCAGAGCTGCCAGCGCCGGCGAGCGCAGGACCAGGAACCTCCCAGCAGGCGCCCCTGGGCCAGGCAGCAGCACCCAGCGTGGGAAGGGGAACGGGCCAGGGCCAGAAACTCCCTCAAACATTAACATATAGTTGTGGGGTATTCCAGCAGTAACTTCTCATAAGGTATTGGGGACATACTGGTGAAAGGAAAAGATTTTATCTTTAAAAAAAAATTGTAAGAGCTCAAAATGCAGGGTTTACAAGTGCCCTAAATTTTCATTGTCCATATCATTGCAATGAGGACAAAACGCAACTCCTGTTTGTTTGTTTTTTAAAAAAACTAACATGGAAACGTGCTTATTTATGTACAAAGTACATTGCTGCACCTATTTTGCTAAGCACAGTGCCCTGCAATAGCTGCACCCACAGCGCAGGGAGCCGTGACCCAGGCTGCCTGTGCAGGTAAAACATCTTGGCCAACCTGCTGAAACTGCTCCTCACTGCACCCAACACCTTCATCAACCACCCACTGCAGGGGTGCCAGCACCTAACGAGCCCCATCCCTTCCCAGCCCAGCTCAGCCTCCAGGATGGCTCTGCGGGAGACCGGCAAGTACTCGCAGGGCTCAGTCCTCGGCTCCGTGAATCCTGACCTCGCCAGCGAGAGGCAAACAGCCTCCTTCAGCGTGGAAACGCTCACGACCTGGCTGGACGGCAGCACAGAGAACACGCGGATACGGAGGGCGGTGGGTGAGTGAGCCCTACGAGGTCCCTGGCTGCGGGGCTGGGGCAGAGCATGCCTACGTCCCCGCTGTTTCTGCTCCTCCTTTGCATGGTGGGTTTTCTGCTCCCAGGTATTCGCTTATCACCCATCTCTTACAAAAGTGGGAGCGTGGAGCTGGAGTCCCTGCTAGTGTAAATCAATGTGACTCCTCCGCAGCCACTCACACTGTCTGAAGCTTTTCTCCTTCCCCACTCCCATCCCCAGTATCCCTGGCAAGACTGATTAAACCAGAATACAAGGATCCAGGGTCACAGGAACAGGCATCTCTGTGCAAGGGGGATGCACTGCTGCACAGCCATGCATGAACCCCAGCCAATGACCCCCTCAGCACATCAGGCTCATCCAGGTGGGGGATTCCTTGCATGGGTTGGCTCGGGCAGGCTGAGTGGCTCTCATTTGTGATAGGTGTGCTCAGAAGGAACAGAGAAAAAAAAAAAAAAAAGCAAGCCTTTGTAACTACCCCCATACGACACCCTTACCAAATGAAAACAGCACAGGCCACTGGGATCGCACACTGCACGGTGCAACTGGAGTTCAGTAAAACTTTAAATGTGAATGGACTCAAAGGTTTCAAGGCAAAAAGGGAGCAGTGGGAACGTTCAGGCTGACACAGAAAGAGCAAACCCAGGAGTCGCTTCGCAACACTGTGAAGGGCTGGTAAAGTCCCGAGCACTGATGCCAAGTGGGACATTCGGCAGCTCCGGCCATTAGCCACCCTCCGGGCAAAACCCAGCGAACTGCAGCTCCTGCTGCCACCACAGCACAGGAACAGCACTTAGGGACAGAGGGATCCATGGCATTTTCTGTCTGAGGCACAAAGTCACCTCTGACACCCTGACCAAAAAAAATCCCTACAGGGTCATTTTTCCACCCAACAGACCCCCTCTCAGGCGCACTCGCGTCCCCTCCTCTCCTCCTTCCCCAAACCCACCACTTTTCTTAGGCGTGACAGCCATCAGAGCCAGCACTGGCAAAATCAAACCTGCCTGCAGTAACCCTAAAAAGTCACAGCATCGGTATCCACAACCCCAGTCCTGCCCTCTCCTCCCGAGCGGGGCTCAAGGCACAGCCCGCACCTCCCCAGCCCCAGGAGAACCAACTCTTCTGTGTTGCTTTGCAGTCAAAGCTATTGAAGGTGACCCCGTATTTAGCAGAGAAAATCAGTATTTCCAGAGCCAGAATGAGCGGTACGAAGCAGCAGTCAGGAAGGCTGTTCATCTCCAGAAAAAGATGCACGAGATGGGATGGACTGAGAACGGACCTGAATTTAAGTACATTTACAGGTGATTTTTTTTTCTTTTTTTTAATGAACAATTAAATTTTTTGTTAAATGTTTTGTACGCCAATGAGAATCGGCATTAGCAAAGGCTGGGAGAGGCCAACAGTTGACAGATAAAGTTTTGGTAGAAATGTGTTGCAGGTTTTTACTTCAGCAGCATGCTCAGGAAAAGGGAAAATGATGGTACACGGCAGGGAACTTCTCAAATAGCAGCACAAGGGTACAGCGTGATAGGTCACAGCAGTTCACATCCCCAGCGTGACATTTCCACTTCAGCAAGCTCCTTACTTGTGCTACAGCTCTCGTACCACCCCCCTCAGACGTTTTTAAGTGTAGAACCAGACTTGGAAGTGGTGCTGTTTCAGTTATGTTACTGACTTCCAGAAAAATTTAAAATGACGTTGTTCTCCATCTAGAAAACCCATATTGTATTTTAAAAAAGGAAAAAAAAAATAAACCAGCAAAACTTTAGTTTGTAGGTAAATGGAATAAAATATTTTTCACAATCTTTTCCTAAAAAAAAAAAAATATTCTGCTCATTCAAAAGGGCAATGCCTGCACCTTGCAAATCACCACTGACACTCAAAGCCACTTCCCAGTATTTCAGCATGCGAAGGATCATAATTTTTTTTATGCTAAACTCTTTGCCACCTGCAGCGAGTGGGACTGATAAACAGGGAAATCTTCTGTCAAGAGCTCTTGACCTGGTCATTATATTCCAAATAAAAAGCAGCTCTCTGCTCCTCCCTTAGAAGAAAAGAAAAAAAATCCCAGCAGATTTTAAAAACCTGACAAAACTCACCCTCCTCTCCCACCTAGGTTTGTTTTTATCCACCCTCCCATCACCAAAGGCTTTGGCAGGGCCGGCCCCGGGCTACCAAGCTGGGCTGGACTACAAGCCCAGCCGGCCTCAACGGGCAGCTCTTTGCTGAGGAAATACCAGGTGAGCACCAAGCCCTTGCTGACAAAGTCCTGGTGCCAGACACAGTGAATCACTTGCGGACATTTAAAAGCCAGCTTTTTTAAATTGCAGTTAAAGTAACATTATTTCTGGATGAGCTGCCAAGGGTTCACAAAGTCTTTTTCTGTTAATCAAAGCAATTTCCCTTTAACTTCTTTGTTCGTATT